ATGGGCTTTCTCCAGCGGCGAGCGAGGGCTACTCTTCGTTGCGGTGCACAGGCTTCTCATTGTGGTGGCTTCTTGTGTTGTGGAGCACAGGCTCTAGGCACACGGGCTTCAGTAGTTGTGGCTCATTGGCTCTAGAGCGCAGGCTCAGTAGTTGTGGCGCACGGCTTAGTTGCTCCACGGCATGTGGGGTCTTCCCGGACCAGGGCTCGAACCCGTGTGTCCTGCATTGGCAGGCGGATTCTAAACCACTGCGCCACCAGGGAATCCCATTAGGTCCTTTTGTGGATAAATCAGGGGAGAGAATCTAGCCATAGGGATAGATTATAAAAAGCCATGGATTCATGAAACAGCACGATCAATTTCAGTTGATGTAATAAAAACATATTCTTTTTAATATCATGCTTACAATTGTATTCAGTATCTACATTTGGCAATATTATTTTCATATGCAGAATTTTTCTCAAAACTATTGACACTGCCTCCTGGTACTTTAATTCCGAGAATCATATTCACATTCTGAAATTAACCATATTAACCTTAACTGAATCTTTTGATAAGTTTCTGTGTGGCCACCTTAATTTTATTACCATTACCCCTCCCTCAGTCTTCCCTCAATTTATATTACTAGCATGGGGAACTTTGTGCACAATTATCATAAATGATCTGCTTCTTACTCCAAGTTTTGCAGACACAAGGAAATGGTAATTTAGTTCCCATCTATGGAAAATTGTGGAAGTTTTTCCCCATATATAGTACATACATGACAACTCTCTTGCTTTGAAAGGTTGGTTTATTTTGATATCACTCTTTTCTTTAGAGTTTACATAACACATGGAGGTATAGTTTGTTTTTGGGTTTTAGATACCGACTTGAAGTACCAACAGTTAGAAGGATTTGTAGGAAAAAAATCAAGTATTTGAGGTTTCTGTGAAATACTGTGAAATGTTTCCATTTTACAAGAACTACAAATTCAAAATAATAACTAGCACCAAGGCTTTCATTTATTTAAAGTGTTGATCCACATCTCTTGTTATTCATCACAATTTCTACAGCAAAGAGAGAAAGGGAAGATGAAAAGATGGACTTAGGGCATTGTGCAATTTATCAATGTATCAGTGTAATTAACAAACAAATAAAAACAGTAATAATGTATTATAAATTGCCACACCAGTGTTGTCATGCAACCTGAGCACTATGTATTATTCCAATGTAAGCATATTCAGAATCAGTTTTCAGCTCATTATATATTAGTCTTCTGCTCAAATTCCATTGGATAAATATGAAAAAGGAACAAATATAAGTAAACTGAATACAAGTTGCCTTCTGATATTAAGAGGAGAGGTAAAAACATCAATTTTCTTCACTCTGCTGCCTTTTGTTAATGATACAGTATGGCTATTTGGAGAGGAAAGATAACTGCATGAAAATTAAGTGGGGCAGAGCAGAATTCAGAGTATTATAAAAAATAGGAAATATAGCAACTGAATCAAATAGAATTATAGTGAATGGGAAGCATAAAAATAAACTAAGTAAACAATTCAATGAAAAAGTAAACAATATAACATTTTTTCTACTTTTTTCCTTTATTTTAATAGAATTAAATTTCTCTGATAACCAAAATGCTAAGGGAAAAAGTGCTTACATAGAAATAAAACATTTAGAAATATTGCAAAAATTGATTAGGTGGTCACCAACTGTTTCATGGTGATTTTTCATTATTTTCTCCTGTGCCTGAGGGTTGGCAGTAAGAAGTTAATTAAATAGGACCAATTCTGCCTCCAGTAGTTGTTTTCATGAACGATGCTTGAGAAAAAATGTCTTTGTAACTAAGGGCAACGTTTGAGATAAAGCAGCACATCTGTGCTTATGCGATAGTGACCAATCCATTGTTATATGTCCCCAAAGTGTGTTAGTACTTTGGTCCTGGCCCTATGTGGATTCAGGATCCTAGACAGGTGAGAAATTCCTTCTCTCTTCTCTAAAGCTTTTACACAACTGAAACAAAGCGAAATACATAAGCGTTGTCTAAAATAGGCGCAACTTCAAGAGAGGGCCATATGCATCCTGATCAGGGAGATTAGGGGTCCTGAGGAGGTACGAGGTCTCATGCTAGGACACATAATGGGAGATGAGGCTGATAGATGCATAGAACCTTCCTTTTTTTAAAAAACTCAGTTCAATGAAACTACTTCCTTTCCACTTCTGTGTTAGATATTTTTAATGCAAAGGCAATTTGATACTCCAGTAGTCACACGTTGGCCCATTAGACAAATAAAGCCTCTATAGATTTTGTTAGGTAAATCAAGGAGTAACTGATGATACCATACAGTAAACTGCTGTGACAATTATTCCAGTCCACAGAGCTACAAACTTTGGCTGATCTAGGGGCACAAATAAATGCCAGATTAAAATTGGTGCCTTTCTTTTTTTCTGTCTCTCTAAGAAACATAGATAATTGAATGAGAATGCTTGCCTTGCATCAAGTATATGTGAGTGTGTGTGCTGGTGGTAGTATAGGAGTGGGAAAAGGAAGGCTGTACAAATCCAGAACTAAAGCATCATTCCACTTAATCGTATTGGCTGCTTCCTTCCTTTGTTCTCATCCCTACCCAACAGTCCACACACCAGGCATCTGTGATATTTATTAATGCTCTTCACAGCTATTTGGTTCTCATTCACTTGGGGAACATAGATGACTGAACTCCCAGATACCCTAATTTTAGCCAATGAGTTGATCTGAATGATGTGACAGGGTAAAACCTTCCAGAGCTTTCTTTACCTCTAGCACAGCAACCAGCAATATTTAAGATGATACCTGCTTCTTTAGACAAGGTCCCTAAGTGATTATGATGAGCACATTCCCCTTGGTAACCTAGAGATGAAATGTAATTCAGAAATCAGCCTTTGAGGTTTTCAGCACCAATATTTGAAGGTTGTTTGGTATTATAGCATACATAGCCTATTCTGACCAAATCAATTGGCCCATGCTGGTCTGCAAAATTATCTTTCATGTTTGGGGAAATCTTCATCAAAACTATCTCTTGGAGAGAGAAATATAGATAAACATTATTCCCCTGTTGGCTTATGATTTTATAAGTTGTTTAAAATAAATACTTAATCCTTGGTTTCTAGGCTATACATAAATTGTGAAAATGCTAAGCTTTAAGAACTAATATATATTGATTGATTTACATAACACTATGTGTCAGGCACTGTTCTTAGCAAATTATTAGTTTTAATTCATCTAATCCTCATATTTTGCAAGTGGTGAAATTTGGGTACAGAGTCTACATAACTGGCCTAGGGTTTCCCAGCCAGCAAATATTCTATCAGTACTATTCATTGTCCCTCCGTTACCAAAACCATATCCTCAATATCAATAATAACGCTAATGTCTTCTCACATAAGTAAATGAGAATTTTTATACCTAACAGAAATGATACTCATTTCAGTGACTATTGATTTTCAGAACCTCTTCTTATACTATACTCTACTTTTTATATTTTATACTGTATAATTTTCCATGGGCCTGCCTTACACATTTGACATTTTAAATTTTTAAAACTTTTTTAAAAGCTAACATTATACTTATTGGTGGAAGATTGAAAGTTTTTTCCCTAAGACAGTAAAAGCCAATGATATTCAGCCTTACCACTGCTATTAAACATTGTACTGGATGTTCTAGCCTTGCAAGCAGGGAAGGAAAATAAAGAAATAAAAGACATCCAGACTGGAAAGGAAGAATTAAAACTGGTTTCATTCACTGATGGCATGATCATCTATATAGAAAATCCAATGGAATGTACAAAAAAGCTACTAGAACCAATATGTGAATTTAACAAGATTTGCAGGGTGCAAAACAGAAAGACCACTTTGCACAAATCGTATTTATACACAATATGAGATTGAAATTTTTAACATACCATTTAAATTAGCATAAAATTTAAAATATTAAGGATTAATCTGGTAAAATGTGTGAATGATTTAGACACCGAAAAATGCAAAACATTTCTGAGAAAAGTTTTTTTTGTTGTTTTTTTTTTTGCGGTACGCGGGCCTCTCACTGCTGTGGCCTCTCCCGTTGCGGAGCACAGGCTCCGGACGCGCAGGCTCAGCAGCCATGGCTTACGGGCCCAGCCGCTCCACGGCACGTGGGATCTTCCCGGACCAGGGCACGAACCTGTGTCCCCTGCATCGGCAGGCAGACTCTCAACCACTGCGCCACAAGGGAAGCCCTGAGAAAAGTTTTAAAACCTAAATAAATGAAGATATATCCCTTGTTCATTGGTAGGAAGGCTCAACACTATTAAGATATCAATTTTCTACAGATAAATCTATATTTTCCATGCCATTCCTTTTAAAAATATTGTTTTATAGAATAAAGCTGATTCTAAATTCATATGGAAATGAAAAATACCCACCTAACAATAATAGCAGCAAAACAACCTTTGAGAAGGAAGAAAAATGTATAAATCTATAGTAATCAGAACAGTGTCGTGTCAATGTAAAGATAGATATACAGATCTGTTGACTTAAAGAAAAGCACACAACATAAGAGTTGGGAGTTTAAGTTTTATTCAGGGTCTTGCTGATGGCTGTAGGCCAGGAGCCAGTCACCTAGCTAGCTCTGAGAAAAATGGTCCAAAGAGATAAGGTAGAAGCCAGTTTATATAAGATGTTTTTTTGCTAAGGAATAAGTACAGGCAAGCATACATCTTGGTAAAAGATTGCTGCTAATCACAAAGAACAGTTATCTGAAGTTAATGATTTTAGTGCTTTTCTTTGTATGAGAAGATGCAAGAATCTGGGTTCTTTAAAAGTTCTTCCTGAATTATACATCTGACTGTCTAAGGGGTCTGCTTGTCCAAAGCACAGAATGCCTCATTCGGTTACTCTTAATATCCCCTCAGAGTGCACTGCTGGTCAGTGACCATAGTAGGTTAAGACTAAACCTTTGTAGGACTGGGTGGTGAGCAATGCTTTTTGTTCTTCGTTCACAGATCAATGGAATGTAACAGGGTCCAGAAGTAGATCTCCACTGTATGTGAACAACTCATTTTTGGCAAAATGCACTGAATATTTGCCAAGTGGCATACCTTCAGCACTCAGCCAGGTATTTATCGACTCTATCTTTGCCTTCACTTCCTGCTTGTGCAGAGGCAAAAGCTCAGCCAGGGATGAGCGCTCAGGGCCTTCATATGACTCTCCTAAGAAGGAAAGACACTGCCTGGGGCATGTGCTCTACCCATGTATGTGGTCTTCTGGATTCCCAGTAATGTTTCAGAGCTTTTCAAAGCCCTATGGACATCTCATTTCCAGCTTTTCCTTTTAAGCTTTTTGTTTATACTATTGTTTGCCCCAACTACCCCAAGGGACCACGAAGTTAAACAGTTACCTGCAATTTTTTATGACAAATACCCTCCACACCATCCCCCCAGAGAAACAGTTGTTCAGTACTGGATAAGCTCCAAGTCATATCAGTATAGTTTTGCAAGTGGGATCTTCTGGGGAACCGTCAGACAAACCAGATAATGACAGTTCTTAAGAATGAGTCTTTGAAATAGATCTAGCCCTCTTTTGCTCCCTCCAGTGGCTGCCCTGTTGATTTTCCACAGTAGATGTTGAGATAGCAGGTGATGAGAGTAGAGGAAGCTAAAATGCCACAAAGCTGGCAGTTCTTACTGAGATGGAGCAATTTTTCTTGAACAAATATTCTCCTGGTTACTACATGCCTTTGGTTAATTTCTAGAGTTCTGAAGTAGTTTGTTCTGGCTTTTTGGGGGGCCAGTTTTCTTGTTGCTTTTATGGAGTAGAGGATGTTTAGCAAACTCATTTTGAGATTTTCTCAAATTTTCTCCCAGTATTTTCTCCCAGTATTTCATTGTCTTTCTTCTCCTCACCTCCACTCCCCATTTTACTCTCTGTATCTCATTTTCATCCTAAAATTATGTTTCATCATTTCAGCCAGATTCTATCCAATAATATTAATTCTCATATTTCTTTGTTTATCTACCTTTTCTGCCTCCCCATTCCAGATCACTGCTGTGGAAAACCACTAAAACCTATTTAGTGTCACCAGATATAATTACAGATTTCATTGAGCCCTGAGTTCGGTCAGGAAATCTGTTTACCTTAGCCTGATTGCATCCTCCTCTAATCACCTTGGCTTAGATGCTTTCCCAAATTTTTGCCACTCTTCTAAATCTTTACCACCACCTACACACATAATCCATATTGCTTCTTTCCTCCTACAAACTATTGTAAGGAACGGCACCAAAAACGGAGGAGAGCTTAAACAAGCTTTATTTGGGAACGCTCCCGGGCGAGCCGAGAGAAAGGGGCCAGAGAATGTAAGGAACGGCACCAAGAAACGGGGGAGAGCTTAAACAAGCTTTATTTGGGAACGCTCCCGGCCGAGGTTCACTGGTCCGAGAGCAAGGGGCCAGAGAAGTCGCGCCCGGGCGAGGGTTTGGGCAGAATTTATAGGGGAAGAAGGGATAGGGGTGTGGTGAATCCGGGAGGGCGCAGGTTATTCCTTATTTGGTGGTCTCTTCGGGTATCGTGGCAATATCCGGTGCCGGTTGCATCAGTCTTGGGACCGTTAGTCCCGCCCCTCGAAAGGCGGGAAGGCTGGGCCGGGTGGAAAGTCCCCAGGTCAGTTCCTGGAACTGGGTGGTCCGGAAAGTTTCCGTCTGATGCAACCTGTGAGTCTGATTGTGTTCCCCTGCCTCGGGCCAGTTGACCTTACAGAGAAGTCGCGCCCGGCTAAGGGCGCGAACAAAATTTATAGGGGTGGACGCAGGGGAGGCGCTTGCTGTGTGAAGCAGCCCTTTTTTGGTAATCTTTTGGATGTTGTGGCAATGTTGGGTGTCGGTTGCATCAGCCTCGGAGCTGTTGGTTCCGCCCCTCGGGGAGCGGGAAGACCGGTCGGTTGCGTCAGCCTCCTTGGCGGGGGTTCCGTCTGGCTCCCTGGGCCCTTCCCCGGACCTGCTGGCCTTACAACTATAAACTCATCTTTTTACTAATTCCCCTTCATGTGCTCTAAATCTCAGGGTCTTCTGTCCCAAATGGAGGTAGAAAAAGGACACAAAAAGTCTGTGTGGTAAACTGATTAGGAACAAGTATTTTTGTTTTGGAGAATGGAAATGACAATGGTTCTGGCTGGCCTCCAAATTTGCATACATTTGGCTGAATATGGTAATATAATAGAGGGAGTGCATCAGCATTTATGTTAACAGTCTACTTTTGTTTTTGTCCTTGGGAGAGGGTTTTGGTAGTATGTAAAATAGTGTGCTGTCACTCAAGTCATCTCTTTTATCCTCTCAAAAATCTCCTTTTCTTCTCCAAAGCATCTCAAGGCATATTAGACCGATTTCAAACTTTTCATTTGAGGGTTTAATTCTACACAGCTTTTAGTCCCTAATATATTTCCTCACTCACATACCTTTTCTCATTTGATTGTCTTTTTGATCTGTGAAACAGAATCTCTTGGTTAATTTAGTTTATTCCTACCTTGTTGACACTATTGACTTGTGAATGTGTAATGGATGAGGAGCTCTAGGGGTTTTGAATTAATCCAATTGTTTATCTACAAAAACACCTGCAGCCAGACTGAGATAACAAAATCACTGAAGAAGTCAAAACATGAGAGTTGAATCACAAAATCTCATTTTGTTTTGATGATCTTCTATTGTAGGTATCTACCTCAGCACATCAATAAAAAGATAATTTTGTGTAGTAAAACAAATGAGCTCATTATAAGGGTATGAAAACCAATGACATTAAAAGCTGCATTAATGCTCAGCAGACTAAAACCAAATAATCCAGTGTAATGAAATGATTAGGTTGGGTCTTAATAGATTATAATTGTAGGGAGTATAAATCATAGCTAAAATATTCCCCCATATATAAGGTAAGCACTGAAAACAATATTAAAATACAGAGACCTAAACACTATAGGTAGAAGAATATTTCCTTTCTTATTAGAATATTAAATAGGAGCAAATTAAATGAGTATTACTAAACTGACTTTCTTTTTTCTATTTTAAGTGTTCTGCCATCACAGACTGAAAGAAAAATTGTCTCAGATTCCTTTGGTTAAGAGCCAGAGGAAAAGTTACTTTGTAAGCATCTTTATTGTTCATTACCTAAAATAGATTGCTCTGAAAGATAGCTAAAATGTCTCAAGTGACAGAAATAAATCATTTGTTAAAACATTAGCAAGTGTTAAGTAGACCAATCACAAAGAAATGAACTAGGTGGGTATGATCTAGCCAGTCAAATAGCATACCCTGGAGGAAATTGTCTAACCTAGGGCACCAGCTGGACTGAGGGTAAAAGAGAGTTCACAAAACAAACCGTTCCTTAAAGAGAGTAGGTCATTTTCTAAAGAATACAGATCTAGTCTCAGTTCCCATTCAGAAAGGCAACTGCAACTCTCTAGATAATCAATACAGACACTGGCTTTCAGGTTTCTCTTCTTCTATCAATATATTTGTAGCTATATAGCACTGGGAATATGCAACAGTTACTGGTGGGAGAAGCAGTGTAGGAGCCCAAAGCATATACTCTGGTGTCAGCAAAGCTTGGCTTCCAATCCCAAGTGTCACTTACTTACAGTGTTATATTCAATATGTCGTTTACTTTTTCTGTTCTGTAATCCATGAACTGGTGATAATAATAATAATAGTTCTTACCTCATAGGGTTGATTATTTTGAGGATGGAGGTGAAATAAAGCATGCAAAGCACCTAATGTATTGTTACTAACCTTACATAAATATTAGCTATTTTATTACATATAAATAGAGAAGGACAAATAAAATACAAATCTTGAAGTGCTACTCAAAAATAGTATTTATTTCTAAAATGATTTTGTTTCTGACCATCTGCTAAGATTTCTGGATTTCCCACTGGAACTCTCCACTAACCTACTGGAACAATCCCATTAATGTATTGAAAGTTGCCTCCATCCCTACCATCATTTCAGAACAAACAATTTATATTAATTAACTACTCCTAGTCCTTTCCCTCCATGCTTCCACTTTGACACCTGGCTTGGTGTCTGTTGATTTTTTTAGGAGGAGAAGGAATAACAAGTTTGGTCTTCTGGTCTAAATTTCTTCCATTGCTTCCAATTCAATTCCTTCAGCTTTTGCCCTACTCCCAATGGCAAGATCTACTTCCAGGACTCTGACCTCACAAATTGGGACCATTTTCCTCTAATTATCTGTATGTAGTGTAATCCAGTTATATTAATACTCACAATCTTAAAGGTTTTCTCTGCCAGATAAAGGATTTGAGACTCTACCATTTGAATGGTAAAGCATCATTTCATATGCTTTAGCACAGAAATAAAATAGAGCTTTAGCAGGCTTGGATGAGTTGAATGGACTAGAAGCAAGGCTACCCGTTAGAAACCCGTTTTAATAATCTAAGTGTAACTTTAGGAGGATGACAAATAGAAATGGAAGGATGAACATCAAAGGAATTTCAAACTATCTTTGATGGAGAAATAATTTTGAAAAAAATATCTTCTAGCATCACCTTTATTCAATAGTCAGTAAAGGCGTACCATAATGAAATGTAGTAATAGAATAAAATTACTTCAAAAACAAAATAGCTAATGGTTTTCTTTGAAGCCTTACCTACTACTTTAATTTTAATAAAGAAAACAATTAGAGTTTCCCAAAGCAAAATATTAGAATTGCCCATAGCAGCTGTCACAGAACTATTTATTTATTCATTCATTCATCTTTAAAAATTTACTCTGATAACGTACATTTTTCCATTTGTATTTATATATTTTCAAAGTACAGAGAAAAATTAAAGCCTGCAAGTTAGTACCAGCAGTCCCCATTACAACTCACTTTAAACAAAATTCCAAACATATCAAACTAAAAATAGATATGAATATATTGTATAAATATATACCAAGTTGGAGAGGTTACAAATATAATTCCCCATCTGAGAGAAGAAGGTTTATATAAATGTACTTAACTTTTAAAGGTATCTTTAATTTAGACGCATAAGCTGTGTTTTATACATTTAAATTTAAAGGTTTTGTTTTACTTCTCAGAAAATCTCCTCTCCAATGTACATATGATACCACCAGG